CACCTCACGGTGCCCCTATGTACCCTAAGTCCCAGGAGGGTGGCTGAGAGGCAGGGCCTCCCTAATTTGGCCCAGCCCTAGCCATGGGACGGAGGCTCTACTGTGGGCACAGCGCCCATGGGAATGCTGGGCCCAGTCGCCCATTCCCAGGCTCACGGGGTGGGGTCTCATGCTAAGAGGACCCTGGGACTGCTGCCCACGTTCAGCCCTAACTGCACTGTCCCCTCAGAGCAGCATCAGAGACTCCACTGTGGGTGAGCGTGAGTATGCATGCAGGCATGTTAGACTCTGGTAAAATAATCCAGCCAGTCACTGAAGGAGGAGACAAAAGCAAATAATAATAAGATCCACAGCAGAAGTCAGGTGGGGGTGGGGGATCAGTACCCAGAGTGTCCATAATGTATTTTCTAAAATGTCCATTTCCCAACAAGACATGAAAAAACAAAAACAAAAACACCCAGGAAAGTATGGCCTATACACAAGGAAAAAAGCAGATAACAACAGAAACTACCCAGGAGAACAACCATACATTGAATTCACCAGACAAAGCTTTCAAAGCAACCATTATCAATATACTCTAATAGGAAACAATGATTAAGTTGAAATGGCTGTTAGGGACCTAACCAAGGCAACTCCCTTTTGTAGTAGTTCAGCCATTTTGTCTTTCAGTTCCCCCTCTCACCCCTCCTCCATGTGACCGCCCTAACCTTCCCAGTAGACCACAAATCATGTCCCATGATTTATGGCTTTTCCTTTCCCTCTCCTGAAGGGCTATAACATTCCTGAAATAGTTCTGTCACGTACACTTTCCCCCTGTGGTTAATTTACAATTGTTCTCTACCCAGAACTGACACTCTGTAACCTTATAGTTTTTTGCTATATAAACCCCTTGCTTGCTTCATTCAGGGTCGAGAGTCTTTTTTTTGGCATGAGCCTCTCTTGACCGTCAGCATTAAAGGACTCAGTATTTGACTCTCAGCATGTTGATGACTTCTTACTCGCGGGTGTGGCTACAACAAAGTGAAGGAAGATTTGATAACTATATTTTATCAAATAGAGACTGTCAACAAAGATGTTGAAATTAGAAAGAAAGAGCCAAAGAGAAATTCCTTTTTTTTTTTTGAGTTAGAGTCCCACTCTGCCGCCCAGGCTGGAGTGCAGTGGTACATTCAACCACACCTGGCTAATTTTTTATTTATTGTAGAGACGAAGTCTCACCGAGTTGCCAGGGCTGGTCTCAAACCCATGGGCTCAGGCAATCCACTCGCCTCAGCCTCCCAAAGTGCTGGGCTTCCAGGGTGAGCCACTGGAGCCTGGGCAAAATAGAAATTCTCAAGTAGAAAAGTATAGTAAGAGAAATGGAAAAACCACTCGAAGGGCATAAAGGTAGATTTGAACTGGCAAAAGAAAGAATGACTAAACTGGAAGACAGACTGTTGGGCATTACGCAACTTGAAGAAAGATTAAAGACAAATAAATAATGTCACAGAGAGATGGGGGACACCAGGAAGTGCGTCAACAAATGCATAATGGAAGACCCACAAGGAGAGGGACGAGTGAAAGGAGCAGGAGAAACACAGCACAAAATGTCCCAGGTTTATTGGAAGACCCTGATCTGTACATTGAGAAAGCTGAATGAAATCCAAGTAAGGTAACCCCAAAGAGATACACACGGAGAAGCAGCCTTCTGGGGTCAGAACAAAGCTCTGACACCTTACTTAGAAACAATCCCTTCAAACAATCCTACACTTGACTGGATTGAGTTAGAGACGCTAAATCACAGCTCCAGTAATGTTTAAACATTGAGCCAAAATCTAGGAGGAAAAAATCTTTAAAGTAGCACAAACCCTAACCCCCAAAACAAACAAACAAACAAAAAACAAGACTCACCATTTACCAGGAAACCCCAGCCAGATTAACAGCTGACTGCTCATCAGAAACAATGGAGGCCAGAGACAGGAGGAGAACATAGCAAAGTACTCAAAAGCAACAAAACACCTATGTCAACCAAGAATTCTATATCCAAGTTAACTTAAAAGGGGTCAACGACTGAAAATGTAAAAGCTAAAATTATAAAACTCTTTGAAGAAAACATAGGGTAACCTTCATGGGCTCAGATATGTAATAGATTCCTAGCTATGATATCAAACACACGAGCACCAACAGGGAAAAAAAGATATATTGAACTTCATCAGGATTAAAAACATGCGCTTGAAAGGACACTGACAAGAAAGCAAAAAGATAACCTACAGAATGGGAGAAAATATTTGCAAATCACATCTGCTGAAGAACTTGTAACTAGAATATACAAAAAACTTCGACTTAACAAAAAGAAAAACACTGGCAAAGAAACTAGTAGAAAATGGCCAATAAGCATATGAAAAGATGCTCAACATCATTAGCAAACAGGGAAATGTAAATCAAAACCACAATGAGATACCAGGAGCACCCACGAGAAGAGCTACTGTTAAAAAGTCTGATAGGACCATGTGTTAACAAGGGTGTGGAGGAACTGGAATGCTCAGACTCTACTGTTGGGAATGTGAAAAGGTATAGTCATGTGGGAAAACAGCCTGGCGAACCAGTTCCTCAAAAAGTTAAATATGAAGTTTGCACATGACTCCAGCAATTCCACTCCTAGGTATACAGACAACAAAAATGAAAACATATGTCTACACAAAAACATGCCCATAAATGTTCATAGCAGCATTATTCACAATCGTCAAGAGACAGAAACAACCTAAATGTCCATCAGTGCATGAAGATGTGGCATAGCCATATAATTATTGTTACTTGGCCATAAAAAGGAGTGGCATACTGACACATGCTGCAGCACAGATGAAACTTGAAAACAGTATGCTAAGTGAAAGGAGCCAGTCATAGAAGACCACACAGAGTGTGATTCCATTTATAGTAAGATGTTCAAAATGATCAGGTCTGTGGAGAAAGAAAGAGATCAATGGTTGCTGAAATCTGGGCCAGGCCATGCATGTGTCCAGTGTGTGCGAGAAGAAGGAGGTGATAGCTAAAGCACATGGTTTCTTTAGGAGGTGACAGAACCAACCTAACAACATTATCTAGAAATAATATTGACTGTGATGACGGTTGTACAACGCTACATGTACAGTAAAAATCACTGAGCTGTAAGTGTGTGGATTGTATGGTATGTGAGTAACAAACATCTCAATAAAAGTGTTATTAAAAACAACAGACCAGCCTGGCCAACACAGTTAGATCATGTCCCTACAAAAAAAGTAATAAAACAAATTAAAAAAAGTTAGCCAGGCATAGTGGTGCATATTAGTCCCAGCTACTTGGAAGGCTGAGGCAGAAGGATCAGTTGGGCCCAGGAGCTGAGGGTTACGGAGAGCTACAATCACACCACTGCACCCCAGCCTGGGTGACACAGCAAGATCGTTCTCTAAAAAATAAATAAATAAGAGCCACAGAGAGAAATCAGCCAGAGGGGCACAGCCTGCGCTCTCTAGCGTGCCGCGGACCCTACCACTCCCTGTTACTCTCCAACACTGCAGCTAAGGGTCAGGTCCATTCAGCACTGACAGCTTTGTTCCTCACACCCTGCTCCTTCCCCTCGCTTCACCCCCGTCCTGCTCCAGGCGCAGTTCACTTTGTTCGTCTCACGTAAAGACAGTCAGTGGAGGCACAAAGGTCGGAAACTGAACTACAGGGAGTGAAGGCCGAAAAAACCTTGCAAGTGACGTGACACATGTTTGATTTCCGACTACACCATCTACTGACTGCACAGCAGTGGGCAAGGTGCCCTGGCTGTGTTTCTGAAAGGAGACTCTGGGACTAGGTAACTGCAAAGGTGAATTTCAACGTTGGCCTTCCTTGAAGTTGGGAAGGTATTTCCCGCTGCTGCCACCCTGCATGGGCTTACCAAGGCCAAGACAAGAGGAAACACTGCCACCAGGACCGAAGGATGGCCTGCAGTCACACTCTACCCGGTCCTCAGAGACCACACAATCAGAATCCCCACCACATACCTAGCGCCGAATCAACCCAGGCCTCTTTGGAGTCCAGGGAACATCTTCTTTGACACTGGCATGACAGCTACCCCTTTTAACGGAGGGAAAGCAGGTCTTGGGTCCAGAGCAGCCCAAAAGTTACAGCACAACTGTGGTGAAATGACATGCTGGGGGGGTGTCATTCTAGAATCTTTGATCTGAGCTGCCCTGTATTTCTGACTCACGGGAGTAGCTTTATTACACTTTCAGTAGTGAGAGATTCCTTTTAAAGTAAGGTCAGTTTTCGTAATTGCATAATAACCCTCACGCAGATATGCAGACATGTAGGGCAGTTTTTGTTTTTACACTATTATGTTCTTACTATATTTTTTAAAACACAAAGCAATTTAAACCCAAATACTCTACAAAAAAAGAATGCCTAAAGTACAAAGGATTGCATAAAAATAATAAGCCAGTGTACACTGCAACATAGAAAAACATAAAAACGCAGGATAACATAATTGAAAAAAGCAGAATGTGCAATTTTCCTATCGCAAGGGCACAGCTAAGTCAGTATTTGCAAGAATAGGAAGAGGGGCAAAAGAGAACATGGGAAAGCATAAGGTGATATGTGGTTTTTTGTTTGTTTTTCCTAGGAAACAGGATATTGAGAAGATAGAAAAGCTCCCACAGTGGGAGGGGACCCAAAGGGGTCACCCGTATATCTTTTCAAGCAAGTTTCTTCATGGTTGCTATAATGCAGCTTATATAACAATATTTTCATTAATATTTTAATATTTAATTAAAATACTGGTTGAAAGGAAACCTTCAGGTGACAAGTAGTGCAGGTAGTTTGTGGAGAAGGAAGAAACTCACAAAGGTAGCATGGAAATGACCAAAGTTGCAGGGTGAGTCAGAGAATGGAAAGACCTTGCTAATTACAGTTTCTTAAAAACTCCATCCTTGAACCACACAGTGGCCCAGACGAGGAAGTAAAACCAACAGGGGAACCAACCGATGGCTCAAGCTCACCGTGGCCACACCCTTGGCCTCCTGGTAGGCCAGCTTGATGACATCGGCAGTGCTGGTGTTGAGGAAGAAGTAGCCTGAGCCTTCCTGGATGCAGAGCTCCACCTAGAGGAGGGAGAGGCAGGGAGGGGTCAGGCTGCCTGTTGGAGGGCGAGGGTGGGGGGATGGGGGGGCCGGGGCGAGGGGCTGGGCTGGAGTCTCACCCGGGTACGATGGTGGGCAAGGTGAGTGCCGTACCTGGACGCCAGGGTGGTTGTAGATGGTCACCTCTTCTGGGCGCACCCTCACCTCCTCCACCAGGATGAGCTCTATGGAGGCCGACACGGGCACGGGAAGGTCATGCTGAAGGGCAACGCCCAAGCCGTCAGATTCAGGAAGTCACAGGCCAACACCAGGCTGCCCACAGGCAGAACAGGCCTAGATGCCAGGTCCAGGACTTGCTCCTGGCCACCCATCACACAGGGGACACACGACCCTGGTGCTCCTGAGCCCAGGCGAAGGGCCACATCCCCTTGGAGACCTCCCTTCCTCCTGCCTTCCGCTCCAGACACACTCTGCCCTTCAGGGCCTCACAGCAAATGGTCGATTCAGAGCCTGTGGTGCACACCACGTGGGCGGCCGGTGGGGCTGAGCAAGCAGTAAAGCCGATGGCCAGGCCAGGGAGTCGGGCAGGGACACAGGGAAGAATCGTCCCAGTTGGCTCACAAGAGGGCAGGACGGCCCTCATCCCTTGGGCCACGCGCTTCCTAACCCTGCCTCCTGCCGTGTGTCACCCAAGGGAGATGCCGGGGCCGACCCAGCTCTGGGGCACCCTCACGGTGGCATATTTGAGCACCGCCCCCGCGTCACACATCTGAAAGGCACCGGGGTGCAGGGCCTGCCCTCAGGGAGCAGCTACTGTCACACAAGGAGGGAAAAATAAGGGCGAGCGAATGGCAAGAAGGCCCCGGAGTGCAGTGCGGGTGACAGGCAAGGCGGGGTCTGGAGGAAGCACAGCTCTCAGGGGAGCGAGGCCTCAAGCTGAGGAAGACCTGCGCGACTCAGAATCAGGGCAGCCCCCGGGGCAGGGGACCCCACAGGGTTGAGAGTGTGAGTACAAAGGCCCGGGGGGACCTGTTGGGGTCTTAGGCCCTAGCCAGGAGGCTGTGACACCCCTCCCCACAACCAAGGGAGCCCTGGTGCCAGGGAGACAAAGAAGGGAGTCAGCCATCAAGGACAGGCCTGGCCGTGCCCCTTCAGCGGCCCTCTCCCCAGTTTAACTCCCACTGGGGTCCTGGCCTCTTCAAAAGTTTTCCACCCAGAAGACGATTTCCGCGCCTCATCCTGACATTTGGGGTCCTTAGTAATTCCGGCCCATCTTCCCTTTCTAGCCATCATTTCTGCCTCCACCTTACCCAACACCTAAGCTTGCTGATGGCTGCTCCCCACCATGGTGCGGCTGTCATCCTGGCGGGTCCATTATCAAGCAGCCCTTCCACTCCACCTCAGATGCGCCCATTTGCTCCCTACTAGTAGTGCCTCTGCCTGGGGCCCGCAGGAGAGGCTGGGTCAGGGAGGGGTGACTTGGCAGACAGTGGCCCATGTTTCCAGATGGTGGAAACAGTGAGTGCGTGTATGGTGGAAGGCTTCTGAACCAAGACAGCAGGAGGCTTAGGGATCCAGGTCATAATACACCATGTCCAGGGCTCGGGGACGCTCCCCAGAGGGGCAGACATCTTAGCTGGGACTGAAAGGACAGGCCACCCAGTCGGGGGGGGAAGAAGAGAAGGCATGGAGCATTCAGGGCAAGTGGAAACTGTGTTGGAGACATCATGGCACAACCCAGCGGCACACTGGGTGGTCCATGAAGCAGGGCTGTGTGAAGAAGAGACTGCCCGGGGGAGCCTTGGTGGACAAGGAGGGTGGCTTCCTCCGGAAAGGCTGAGGGCTGCCAGGAGTGTGACCTGGCCTGTTGGACTTTCCCTTTCCGAGAGCCTAAAGGAAGGGTGTGTGTGGGGGAGATGGGAGGCAGCAGGGAAGCACGATGCAGGGGAGCCCACGCCCGGTTCAGCAGCAGAGACAGGGACTGAGGACTGTGTGGCCTGGTGAGGGGGCCCAGGACACTCCAATACCTGGTGAGATTCAGGCAGAAGCAGGAGGCCTGCCTCCCCCGCCCCCTCACCCCGCCCCCCAGGCCCTGGAAGATACCAGCTGCTTCCCTCCAGCTGCACTGAGGTGGGACTTCTGGTAGCCAGCTGCCGTGGCGGTGATGGTGGTGGTTCCCGACGCCTCGTGAAGTGAAATGGCCTGCAAACCTGAGCCCAGGAAAGGGAAAACTGAAGGTGCACGCCTGCACTACGGCCACCCCTGAAGCACCCCTCCCTCCTCTGACTTGCAGTTTCAAATCTAGGCTGGGTCAGTGGCTCATGCCCGTAATCCCAGACGTTCGGAAGCCGAGGTGGGAGGACTGCTTGAGCCCAGGAGTTCAGGATCAACCTGGGCGACATAACAAGACTTCGTCCCCACAAAAAAATTTAAAAATCAGCCAGGCATGGTGGTGCCTGCCCGGAGTCCCAGCTACTTAGGGGACTGATGCAGAAGGATCGCTTGAGCTTAGGAGGTTGGAGCTACGATGAGCCGTGATCATGCACTCCACCCTTGGTGAGACCCCAACTCAAAAAAAAAAAAGGAAATCTAAAAACAGATGACTGAGTTTGGTGAAACTGTCCACACTGTGTTGACAGGCCCTAAGTCAGTTTCCATGGAGGAGGTGCGTTGGAGGAGACAGACAAACTCAATGTTTGACTGTCAGGGTTCTGTCACGATTCAGCATGGCATAGAGCTGCACAGAAGTTGGAGCTGACACACCTGCTACACACCTGGGAGTGGAGACAATCCTGCCCTGGGCCTGACTGTCCTGGCCCTATCGCACAGAATGTCTGTGCAGGAGGAACAGAGATTGGTGAACTCACCAGGCACGTTTTAGTTCTGGGGGAGGGGGAGTCTCAGATAATTGAGTTACCCCAGAACCCGCCTCTTCAGCGCACTTCCTGTCTCAGCAGGCCCTGCCCATCCCAGCACACTTCCTGCCAGGAGGTCACTGTCTCCATCCTAAGGCCTGGACTGTTGGGTCACCCCCAGCTAACCGTGCAGTTTCTTCTGGCCACTCCCATCGTCCTGGGACACCAGCTGCATGGGCGGCTCATGCTCGATGCTGGCCAGCAACGGCCTGGAGGACTCCCAGTGGATGCTCAGGGAGCTGAAGTTGTCGAATCGGCGGCCCTGCTGGTCATAAGCAGCCAGGTCCAGGAAGGGGTTGCGGTGGCTGGAGACAGGAACCTGCAGAAAGCAAATGTCAGGCGCCATGGCCACACCCAGGACTGGACATGGAAACTGCTGACAGCACAGGTTGAGGCCGGTGGCCATTTCCTGGGCTCATGGAGGTGCTGGTGAAGAAGTGGGCGAGTCAGGAACCAACCCTCGCGACTACCTGCCAACAAGGTGTCCCAGACCCCAGTCCAACCTGGCCTCTGGCTCCAGACCACAGTCCTCAGCGCGGCCTAAGAACCCAGCCCCTTTGCTCACCAGAGGAACCTTGGGCAACACTGGCAAGTATTTCTGGTAGTCACTGCTAAGGGCCTGATGCCACTGGCACCTGATGGGCAGAGGTCAGTGATGTTGCTAAACACCCTGCCATACACAGGACAGCCTCCATGAGAACTCTGGCCCAAGCGTCAACAGTGCCAAGGCTGGGAACGGCCACCCCAAGCCCCTCTGCAGACAGGAGTTCCACTTCCCCTCTTCCCTCACTTTCCCAAATCCTCGCTGTCCTCCCAGCCCAGGCACACTCAGTGCCTCCAGGGCCACCCTCTGGCAGTTCACGGGAATGCAGGTGCCAACATCTAAAATGTCCAGAGCTGCCAGGGAGTTCTCACCAGATCCTTCACAATGCTGGGGTGGGCGTGGTCATTTCCTGGGAAGCATGAGCAAGCAAGGCCCAGGAAGAGCTAGGAACCCATCGAGGGAGACTCGGAATGGGAGCGCCAAGACTGCACGTCCCTGCCATTATGCCACTGCCTCTCGGCCCCACACAAGTCCTCTCCTTGGAACCTGGCCCAATCGAGCCTCCCTTTCCTCTCGGACCATAGGGCCCTGGGACAGCAAGCAGAGGCCAAGTGTGCCCGACCCCACAGCCTGGGCTGAACCCCAGCTCCACCCCTCACCTCCCAGGCAAGTGGCAAACTTCCCAAGCCCCAGTCTCTCCAGCTGTGACATGGAAAGCACAAGCGAGCCACCTCCTAGAGCACTGACGCAATCCAGGGCCCGCAAGTTCACTTTAGAGAGAAGTCCAGATTCCAACATCTCAGATGTCCAGAGCCGCCGGCTTGCCGCTTTCAGAGTGGCGTTACCAGATCCACCAGCTCGTTGTACTTAACACCCAGCAGGGAAACGGGGCGCTGTGTGCACTCTCCACATAGGTCTGGTCTTCCATCCAGGTGCGGGTCCTGTAGGAGAGACTGTCCTCCTCTGACCCTTGGGGGTTTGGCGTGACCATGGCACCCCTCTGGCTAGGAAATGGGACTCGAGACGTGTGACACGTCCAGGGGAAGCCTTAATGCCAGAACATCACCTGCCAGGCTTCCTCTCTCTCCACAGCGTTGCCTGCCACGTTCACCACGGTGGCTGCTCCACAGCCGAAGTCTAGGGCCACACACAATGACACGAGGCAGGGGCGCCAAGACCACCCGTGAGGCACAGGCTGCATGCGCGAGAGGTGAGCTTGTGCTGTGTGAAGCCCCGGGGCGTGGGCTGTCTGCTGCCACAGCAGCCTCGCCCGGCCTGACATCCTGACATGCTCACCCAGACCCCACCACCACTGTGAGGGTTTCTCCCCGGTTCCTTCCAGCTCTCTTGCCCCAGAGAACACCGGATCCAAGCAAGCTGCAGAGTCTACACGCTGCAAATTCTGCTCTTCCGGGAGCAGACTGGCACAGTCACCTGGGCAGGCAAAGGCTTGTGATTACCCTGGATAAGAGCTGGGGAGCTGTGAGTGTGGGTAGGGATTGCAGGGGCCTATCCCAGGCTCCCTACTCCCTCCCCTGGAAGCCACCAGTGTTCCTCCAGGGAAGGACATTACCACCATGCTAAGCATGTCTGCAGGCTGACTGGCCCTACCTGCAAGGGCCACCGGAGGCAACAGCATTCAGCCCATTTTACAAGAGGGGAGGCTGAGGCTCAGAGGCGTTCAACAACTTGCCCAGGCTCACAGGTTCAGAGGTGTAACTCGGCTGGCTTAATTTTAAGCCCCAGGGCCTCCACCGACACTGTGCCGTCTCTCCTGGTGCCCGAACTGGGGGCAACTCCACCAAAGAAGCCCCGGCTGTCAGTCGCCCGCAGCGGGTGCCCAACCACAGCGAGCCAAAGGCCGCAGGATCTGCTTGGAGGCCTGGACTCAGGCTGGAGTTGGGCTGCACTTTGTCATTCCATTCTGCTGTCTTTCCTCACCAGAGGTTTACTCTGCAAACACATCTCAGGTGGCCCCTGGGTCTGGGAAGTGTGAAACTAAATGGATACGGCCCTTGGGCTGCATCGCAGGGATCTGTCTTTACCAAGGTTCCCTCAAGAGACCATTCATCGCCAGGGTCACGACTGTACAGAGGGCTCAAAGGTTGTTAAGCCAAGGCTTGATGGACCGCAAGGCATCTCTGTGCTCAAGGTCTGTTATTTCCTGGCAACATCGGAGACACACGAAGCTAACTCCAAACTAAGCTCCACAGCCAGATCCCCGTCTTCCAGCCCAGAGACCCCCTGGGCTACACCAGAGGCACAGCCGACAGACAGACCAGGCAGAGCCCGGCCGACACAGGGCCTGCTCAGTAGTAGGCAACATTAAGGACAAGGAAGAGGCACAGAGGTGTGCTTTGCTTGTCTCTGCAGATGAGAAGGTTGGGCCAGCCTGCAGACGAACGCCTGCTGCCAAACAGAACAGGCTGCCCTTGCAGAGAGGCAGATCTCCAGGCCAGCACCATCTCCTCCCTCCCCTTTCTCCAGTAATGTCCCTGTTGGGCTTCTCCAGCCATCTGAGTTTACCAGAGTCAAGGGCAGAGGACAGGAGGGACACAGGCATGGTGTGTGCGTGGGTTTGCTTGTACATCTGTTCCTATTTATAGAGCTCTCTCTGTGAGCCAGGGGCAGCTCTAAGGACTTGCAGAGGATAAACTAAGTTAGTGCACTCCCAAGTGCTGGGTCGTGGGGAGCTTGTACATGCACTTCTAAGCCCCGGCCCAGGGTCCTCCCGTCTGTGTCGCAGGCCCTACCTTGCTTCCCTCCTAGCACTGACATCCCCAATCCGCCTACTTGTGCACCTGCTGGTCTCTCTATCAATGATGGGAGGCAGGTTCTTCGCCTACCTTGACTTCTCTATAATCTAGAACCTACAGCTGTGCCCGTCACCAGTGTGCGTGCTAAGAAGAAGAGGCACACAGCATCCCCCAAGCAGTAGTGGGGCCAGTGCCAGTCAGGAGGGTGTCCCGCGTCCCTGAGGCCCCATCTGGTCCTTGGAAGCCCTGAGGACAGAGGACTGCATAGGTCCCAGGTCCAAGGAGATCAGACCTGAGGTTTCCCTTCCAACCTTGCTGTTCGGCAAACTCCCGGGAGACTTTCTTCCCCTCTGGACATTTATTTCTGAAAAACAGTCCCCACACTCCCACACCCATGGGAACGCCGCCCTGCCACCCTTCCTTGGCGGCCCCCACCGCAGCTCTGACCCCACGAGCTCTGTCCGTGGTCAGGTGGCCCTCAAGTCACAGAAGACGGTGTTGAGGTTTTAAAGCACTACCAAGTGCCAGGAGGAGAGGCAGCAAGTCTGGAACCGAGGGGACTCTGTCTTTATCTGGCACCACCACTGGCAGCTGTGACTCTGGCAAGTCCCCTCACCTCTCCAAGCCCTGGGTCCCCCGTGGGTAAAGCACAACAACGGTGCCACCTCGCAAGGCTGCGCGGCGATGGAGGTGGTGCAGCACAGAGCGCCAGCCACACAGTGCTCGATGCGGGGCACGGCCACCGAGGCCCCCACCCAAGCGGGCGGCACTCTCAATGCACGCCCAAACAGCCCACTTACCACCTGCTTGTTCTGCTGCAGCAGCGGACAGGCCAGGTCCAGCTGGGCACGGGTATAGACAGGCCTCAGCATGAGCCGGGATGGGGGGGCGCAGAGGAACTTCACCACGGCGGGCTCCACCACAGGGAAGGGGTTGGTGAGGCTGGGCTTGTTCCCCACCGACAGGGCGATGACCTAGGGGGCACAGCAAGCGGGCAGACCTGAGACAGAGTCCCCGGTCCTCTCGGGGCAGCGTCTGCCGCCTGAGCTCCCTCCGACCCAGCTTTCTCTTCTGTAGGACGGGAGCCAGGGTGACACCCACACCACAGGGCCCAAGAGAGCCCAGCGGCACATGGGGCAAAGCATGTTCTCAACACTGGGGAAACTCTCAGGTAGGGACTCCAAGTGACCTCTGCAACAATCAGCCAGGGCCTCGGCGACCCCATCTCAGGAAAGAGACCTGGTGATGCTTGGTGGGTTCCCAGGACCCTAGGAAAAACCCACGGCTGCATTAGCAAGCTGACAGAATGAGGGGCAGGCGTGGGGAGGTGCGCACTCCAGAAGGGCTGAGATCCAGAGAGAGTGGACCAGAAAAGGGACTCTGCAGGACAAAGCATGGATGGGCAGAGCCACGGCCAGGAGAGACTAGTCCCTGCCCTCTGCATGCCCCCACAGAGGACATCCAGGCTGCTGCAAGCAAAAAAAGGAAACCCACGTCTGCTTGTTGAGCTAAGCCCTCAGAAGTCATGTCTGCTCTCCTCATATTCAGAGTGCACAGCTAACGGCCCACCCAGGGAACACCCTCTGCCTCCTAGAATGACACACAGCATCTGGGCAATGCACTGGCCTGGGCCAGGAGTCCCCTCCCTGTGGGGCAGGACCCAAGGCAGTGTCCTCCCTGACTTCCTGCAGGCTTGCTGTTGGCACCTGGTGCCCCACATGAGGAAGCCACAGAGTGCTGAGCGGAGACCCAGGGCGGGGCCAGGGAGGATCGGGTGTCAAGCCAGGGGTAAGAAACCTTCCAAATTCACTCATGAGTCATCTTCTTCTTGTTGCTGCTTATTGACTGCCATGTAGCTACTGCTCTCGTGATTTTATTGTTTTTCAAAACCAAACCCAGCGAGGAGTGGGGCCCCTCACCAGGCATCTTTGTGACCATACCAACACAGCCGTGCCATGGTGGATGTGCACACAGGGTTAACACCAATCAGTGTTCTTTGTAGTATTCTCCACTTGCCCAAAGAAACTTCTCCCACCTTCCTTGGTACACGTGGTCTTCCCCGCTTGCAGTGGATGTCCCCATCTCGGGAGCCCCGGCAACTCAGCAGTAGACCGCACTCCAAGCCAACGAGCTGTCACCCCCACCCTTGGCCTGGCCAGAGGGAAGGGAGTGCCGGGCACTGGGGGACCTGAACGGCAAGATGCCACCCCAGCCAGCCATCCCAGCCACGTGGGGATTCAGGTCACAGCTGTGTTTTGTTTGGTCCTCTCTGCCTCCCAATTTTTCGGTTTCCAGCATTAAAAAAAAGTTAAGTGATTTCACATGCAAAAATGAATTGGGATCTCCAGTTTACCTTGCAGCGCCAACAAGATGTGTCAAAGCTGGGTCTACAGTCTCACTCACCAACGATGCATCCCCGACGCTGCAAGCACTTGACTTTGTGACCCCGATCCTGAACTCCCCAGTTCAGTTAGCTAGATGTTGCAGCCCTGAGAGACAGGAGGCCACCTGACTGGCCAGTTCCATCAAGCATGATATGTCAGGGGTGCCCACTGCTGCACACTGCTCAACCTGCCTAGAATTCACTCAGTCATTCCACCCCATCACACCTTGGTTTGCCTGTCTCAAACAGGTACAGCAGGAGCAGCTCTCTCTCAAGGTTACTCCAAGGATTAAGTGAAATGATGCTCAGAGAGTACCTGGCCACGGTGGGTCTGAGGGCACCTGCCCACTCACCTGCTCACCCAAGGCCTGGCAGGTCACAAGGATCCAGTGCTGCTGAGAACTCCGGGAGGCAGGTGGGGCAAAGAGAGCCAGACTGATGCTGTCCATGTCCTCAGAGGTGACATTTCGAAAGAACTTGGAAGGCTCGAGGACCCAGGGTCTGGGGCCTCCTTCAAACAGCATCTCCTTTGAGGAGCCCAGGGTTACCAAAGCAACAGAGGAAGGATCCACGGTCTGCAAAACGAAAAAGAAGACTCAGCATTCCTCTGGAAGATGGGGACAGAGCTGGGTACCCAGACCCTGGGTTCTCATGCTGCTCTGGGGGATAGATCAGGGGAGCCCAGACTCCTGTGGATCTGCTTCCTCATCTGTAGTGCTCACAGAATTGTACAGACCCAAAGAAGCCAAGGGCTTTGAAAAAAATCGTCCTCCCTCTCTGACATAGTGCTAGGAAAGTGTAAGCCAAGTTCCCTCTTTTGCAAAACAATTTGATCAAAGCCTTCTCCATCTGGAATCCAGACTAACAATAGGAGAAACACACTCATACTCAGAGAGATATTCATCACACAATTATTTACCATTAACACATAACCGAGGGCTGGGTAAGCACAGGTGGTATGTCCACATGATGGCCTCTGACACAGATCCCTAAAGCAGTGTTCACCAAAGCAGCAAGGGCAGAGCACAACACTGACAGTATAGTGTCATCATAACCACACTGCTTTAAAAGACCTAAGACAATCCTAAAATGAAATACACCAGGGCCTGAGGAAAACCCAGGCTGCAGTGTCCTTGCAGACACGATCACAGGGGGTCTGTTCCCATGGGTCGCCACCTCCTCCCAGGGTGGAAGGGGCCAGCTGCCTCTCTGGGTCTCTCTTAAAGGGGCGCTGCCCCCAGTCACGAAGGCCGACTCAGGACCTCGCCATCCCGACAGGCCTCGCTTCCCACTGTCGTCATCTTGGGGTTAGGATCTCAACACGCGAGTTTTGGGGAAATGCCAACACTCCACGGATGGCCTTCGTGAGGAAACAGGCCCTCAGCAGCCACAGAAGCGGCCAGCACTTTGACCTGGGACCTCCTAGCTCCAGAGAGTAAGAAATAAACTTCTGTGGCTCCTGAGCCACCTGGCTGGTGGACACTGTCATGGCAGTCGGAAAGGATGACAGCACTTCTCAGACGAGAATTCTGTCCTGGGTTGCTTTTCAGTGGAATGCTTTCCTGAGTGGGATGTGGGTGGCACCTGTCTCTGGGCACCCCATCCTGCACACATGTGCTGGCGTGTGCATGTGCAGACAATCCCAAGGAGTCTGGGCTCTGCCATTCTGCACACCCAGGTGTGGCACTCTCTTTCCGCAGGTGAGCTGCCGAGGCTGCTCTGGGCCTTCACCTGCTCCCCTCCCGGGGAGGGTGTGCCGTCCGCTTCTGTGCTGCACTCAGGCCTCTGCTGGGGTCACTGCCCCTCAGACGGGCCTCCTCTGAGGCCCCTCTAAAACAAGGCTGCCTCATCTGTCACCTGCTCACCTCTCCTCATCACCACCTGCCCGACCTTACAGATGTCCAGCTGTGCATTTGCTTCTCTGCGTCCATCAGAAGGAAGCAGTCACTTGCTGGTCGTGAGACCTTAAGTAAGTTAACATCGACAAGGATCAGTCCTCAGTCTCCCCATCCTGTGGAATGAGTATAACAATAATGCCTGCCTTGTAGAGCTACCGGTGACTCAAGGTAGCAGGATGGAAGTGATGAACACAGTTAAGCACGTGCTCAATCCACGATCCCTGCTGTGAGGAGCTGCCATTGTCATGAACGGTCACCCCAACTCTAGAAAGCATGAAGCCCAAAACGAAGCCACTGAACCAAGTTTTCCAGCTGGGGGTCCTGAGTCTGTTCTGATCCCAAATCCCCTGTCCCTACCCCACCCCTCATGGCACAGCTAGAGAAGCTCCACTGTGGGCGTAGCAGGCCCCTGTCCGGTTGGCAAAGGCTAAGAATGTGAGAATGTGCGGAGGAACTGCAGATCCTGCAATTAACATCTGGACGATGGCGACGATCACCTTTCTGCCAAATTCCCTTCCCTCTTGTGCACAAAGGTGTCAGGGAATCTGTGCCAAGGAGACAGGCCACTAACCAACACAGCCGACCAAGGACACTCCTCAGTGCACGTCAAAGCCCAGACATTCCCACAGGCAAAGCCCAACAGGAGGGGCCCACCTCCCTACAACAAAACCACTCCTCTCTGGGCTGATTTTCTGGTTTGCAAAACAGCCAGTGGGCCTGACCCTCGAGAGACCTTCAGTGCCCTAGTCGACTGTAGCAGAAACAGAATTCACAAGCCTCTTCACATCGACATGTTTACAGGTGTGAGCATCTCGACTGAGGGCTGAGCCAGAGGGGTTGGGCAGCCAGAGGTGAAGCCCCACGCTCACCGGGTTGGCCTGGAGCCTCCAGGTCAAAGTGAACAGTCTACATGGTCATCTACAAGGTGTCAGGCGATGACTGCAGAGGAGATTAGGCCACCAGCAGGAACGAGTCTCCCATGGCCAAACACATGGAAAAGGTCAAGTATGAGTTAGAGCAGCGGGAAGGGGACAGCAACACCCGCTGGGGAGGGCCTTTCTTCTCAGTCCTGGTATTTCAGGGACTTTCAGGTCACACACATTCGCCCTCCCCAGTAAGCACAGGGTTCTCACGGGTCGAGCTGACAACTGGCGCTCCCCGGCCTGCACCAGCTGCTCGCTGCGACAGGAGAACACCCAGCTCCTGGCCGGGCACTCGTGACCTCCTTCATCTGCCCCTGCAGCTCCACGGACACATCTCTCTTCCCAGAGCAGACACACCTCGGGCCTCCAGTGCCCCAGCAGTCACGCATCCTGCTGCGGCCTCTCCTACTGCTGTCCACGTGTGACCTGTCCCCCTTGGGACTCATCATTTGCACTCACGGCAGTTGTCAGAGAGCCTCCCAGGGCAAAGAGTGCAGGACTTCCACCTACATCTCTGTCTCCCAGCCGGGGCCTACCACCTACACAGTGTCCAGGGATGTCAGCAGAGTGAGCCAACATATGGGCTAGCAAACACAGGTAGGAGCAGTGACTGTCAGCTGCCTCCCAAGTTTCCCACCGTCTCCACTTCCAGGGAAAAGAACCCCCATATATTCAGGGTGGCAAACTGCCCAGGGAAAATATTTCCCAGATTCTCTTGGAGCCAAGAGTGGCCAAGGGGCAATGTTGTGATCACGGAGTCACAGGCAGAAATTGTTCTCCTAATCTTCTGACAAGGCTAATAAAGGCAACTAACTCAGCTGAGGTGAGGAAGGCAGATGTGAGGACTAGGGCTCTAGAAACTACTTTGGACCATGTGACAACCTAGAGGATGCAAGCCCCAGAGGAGGACAAAGTGGAAAGACAGAGGCTGGGATCCCTGACACCTGTGGAGCTGCCACACTGGCCTGTGTGAAGCCTCACACGGGACAGAGAAATAAGCTCCTCTACTGATGAAGCCCTGCCACCTGGGGCTCTGATCCTTGAAAATAAGCCCATTCTTGACTGCTACCAGGCAGAAGATAAAAGACGAGACTCATACTGCCCCTTCTCTAGAACTGTCCAGAACGGAAGCCACCCTGCTGAGGCACATGTCCACTGCATCAACCTCCCATCGCGGCTGAGAGCAGCGAGCTGAGACATCGGCCTCTGCTGCGCCACCCAACCACCAGGTCCTCCCTTGGCAGCGGCCGGGAGGGGCCCCGGGAGTCTCCTTCCACCCACCGGAAAGCTCCACCTCTTGGCAGGTCCAGCATGGGGCATCCCCAGGAGCAACTGCCAGCCTCTTCTCCACTCGGCTGGCGGAACGCTCCCACCCACTCCAGCGCTGTGCTGAGGGAAGGGACCGTGACGTCCTCACTCTCAGCTGTCACCCCATCAGCCCTCTGTGCTTCACGCTGTCCGGGGCAAGCAGACACGGACACACAACTCCGGGGCAGTTTCTGGCCTCTCTCGGCTCGAATACCGCTTCCCAAGGAGAAAGGCTGCCACATGTGCTCTGCCCTGGTCATTCTCAAGGGCCTCTGGCAGGGAGGCCCAAGTAGGAATTCATGCTTATGTGCTGAACACATGGAGGGACGGCGCAGAGGTGCAGGGCCAGGTCTTCGATTAGTAGACTTCTACCAAGTGTCTGCTGTGTCTGCTCTGGAATTAGGAGGCCTCGATTTCCATTCTGGTAGGGTGACCACGGACACACTTTCTCACTGGCTCATTCTAAGCGAGACCACCTTTGGCTGGCATCTGCTTTGAAAAGGCACTTCGCATGGGGCTAGGGATTCAGAGATGAAAGGCCCAAATGCCACACAGCTTCCTTCAAATGGGTGAGACAGAGGAAAAGAAAAAAGGCACATGCCACAGGGCCGTTGTCCTCGAGGCTGACACTGGAAGGCAAGGAAATTGAAGGGCTAGCTGGCTCAGCCCAGGAAGTGGGGGATCCCGGAATCGCCCTTCGGCCCTCGCTGGAACGAGGACCAGGAAGTCCCAACCAACGTCCCCTCTCTGGGCTTCTTCAGTATGAGGAAGGGTTAAAACAGAGCAAGTGACGATTGTATCCGCCAAGCTCCCAGCTCCTACCCCTCATGCAAAGTCCCTTTCCCGCTCTTGGAGGAGGATCCAGGTCCTTCCATTTACGCTCCACACTCGCTGATCCTGGCTGAGCACTCACTACCTCCCGGCCGTTCTGAGCCCACTCCATTCATGAGCTTAGGGAATCCCACCATGACCCTGTGACACAGGGGCTGTCTTTGGCCATTTTCAGGCAGGGACTTTGAGGCCCAGGGAAATTAAACTAGCCCCAGGACAATATCAGACAGGACTCAGACTCAGGAGGGTGGTGTGGACGCTGAGGCTGTGTTCTATACCACGTACGGCATGAGCACCTCCCTCCTTCCTCAGACGGGAAGAAAGGTTCACAGACACCGGGCAAATGTGGAATCCAACCCGACCCAGGAATTGAAGGCCCCAGAATCTGCTCTGTCACAGGGTCGCGCTCCCAAGTCTGGGGTACTGTGGGACCCTGAAGGATACCTGGAGCAGGCCAGAAGCACCCCTCTGTTCGGACCTCTGCTGAAAATGTGTCTGAAGTCCTCAAGGCCTATACTCCTGCCTTCACTGGGGGAGGTGCGCAGGCCTGGGTCCCCAGAGGCTGCCACATGCGGGCCTGGGGGACCACAGGGCATGAGCAACTGTGGGCCTCATCAGGGAGGCCCTCCTCCTTCACATCAATCCTTGCTTTCCAACAAAAAACACCAAGGAGAGGACGGATGCCGACAGCTCTTCTGAACCACTGGCTGGTCACACAGATTCCGCAGAGCAAAGGGAGGGTTTGTGTCAGGGAAGAAGTGGGTGGAACCCCAGCTCACCTTGAGGGGCAGGTAGGCAGCGATGGTGATCCTGGCGCTCAGGGAGACATGGCTGTGCCTGTAGCTCACGAGGAGTGTGGTGGAGCCCTGGGCCTTGGCTTTCACCATGATGCCGCTGCAGTGCCCGGCGCCCGGCATTAGCTTTCCTGCAAAAAGGGAGGAGCCACACAGTCACCTGGACGTGGCCTTTGGCGGGATCTGCACGGCAGGCTGAGGGCTTCTCCTTCGTCCTGGGTTGACAGACAATCTGATTTTTAAATTAAGCTTTCATATCTACGTAAATCCCATGACCATGTAATTCACAATGATTCTTCCCCCACATACTAAATCCGTCCTGCACCCAGCACCCAGATCAAGAAACAGAGCAATCAGTCCTCCCAGAATCCACCAGAGACCCTTCTGGTGTCTCATCGCTCTCAAGGAAAACCACTCTCGTCTCCCAGCACAACTTCCTCTGGTTCCTTGCTACTGTCTTAAAAAGGGAACCGCCGGGCGTCGCCTCTTGTGTCTGGCTTCTGCAGCTGGACGCTGATTGTCAGTCCTCATGCTTCACCCACAGTGGATCCCTGAACTCCCTTTCAGGACATGATTCCATTGTGTGCACGAAGGGCCATGGATTCACCCACGCTCCTGGGCACGTGTGGGGCCCTTCCAGACGGGGCCCTGGTCCACAGCATCGCTATGAACTTCTGTGCACTTTCCCTGTGGGGGACACGTGGATATTTCTGCTGGGCATATCCCCAGGAGGGGGACTGCTAGGCCACAGAGCAAGCACACATAAAGCTGTGGTCATTGCTGCCAAACCTTTCCCAAAGTGGTTGCCTCCACTGACACAGCTACTAGCAGCAGCCCTGCATCCCTGCCATTATTTTTCATCAATTATCGAGTTAAGTTTTGAAAATGTCATTGTTAAAAGCACTAGTCAAGGAGCTACAAGGAATTCAAATGATTAACAGGAAAAAGCAAACACAATCCCATTAAAAGTGGGCAAAGGACATGATCAGATACTTCTCAAAAGGAGACTTCCAAGCAGCTAACAAACTCACAAACAAAAGCTCACCCTCTAATCATCAGAGAAATCCAAATCACAACTACAAGGAGATAACGTCTAACACCAATCAGGTTGGTTATCATTAAAAAGTCAAAAAACAACAGGTGTTGGCGAGGTTGCAGAGGAAAGGGAACACTTGTCCACTGTTGGTGAGAATGTAAGCTAGTTCATCCTTTGTGGAAAGCAGAGTAGTGTTTTCTCAAAGAACTAAAAATTGAATGATGGAACAATCCAGGAATCCCGCTTCTGGGAATATAACTAGAGGAGCATCAATCACTCTACCGAAAAGACACCTGCACGCATATGATCATCGCAGCACTACTCACAATAGTAAAAACATGGAACACAGATGCCCATCAAAAGTGGACTGGATATAGAAAATGTGGTACATATATACGATGGCGTACTATGCAGCCATCAAGAATGATTCATGTCATTTGCAGCACAATAGATGCAGCTGGAGACCAGTATTCTCAGTGAACTACCGTAGAAACAAAAAAACAGAACTGAATCCTGCAGGCTGTCATTCATAGGCGGGCCCTGAACATTGGGCAAGTAAGCACAAAGACGGGAAAATCTGATGCTGGGGACTACTAGCAAAGGGGAGGAGGAGAGGCGGCTAAGAGGCATGCATTCACCCAGTGGGCACCTGGTCCACGATCAGGGGGAGAAAGAGCTTGCTAAAAGCCCAGACCACCCCTGCACACAACTTACTTATGCAGCAAAATCTATACATGTACCCCACAACTCTAAAATACAAATAAAAGTGCAAAAAAATCATGGTAAGCTACACGTGACATAAAATGTCCCACCTTAACACCTTTTACATGCACAGGTAGCAGCATTGAGCACGTTTACACTGTCGGGCAACCGTCACCGCCATCCACTCACAACTCTTCCACGTATAAAACAGAAACTCTACCCAATAAACAGGAACTCCCCAACTCCTTTCATTCCACCTCCTGACAACCACTATTCTATTTCTCGTCTCCATGAATGTGACTACTCTGGGGTACCGCACATACGTAGAATCCTACAGCACTTGTCCTCTTATATATCCGGCTTCTTTCATTTAGCATGATGTCCCCAAGGTTCTTCCATGCTGCAGTACGTGCCAGAATATTCGTCTCTTTTAAGGTAGAAAAATTTACCATTCAATGGATGTCTGATATTTTACTAAATCTGCTTCAGTTCTTATAGTTCTTTGGTGAAATCTTAAGGGTTTTCTACCTTTCACATCAACTAATTTGTAAGCAGATAATTTTATATCCTCCTTTCCAATTTGGGGGCTTTTTCCCTTTTTAAAATCTTACCTTCCAAAGGTAAAAGCACATGTTTGTTACATGGGTATATTGCCTATTAGTGGGGCCTGGGCTTCTAGTATACCCATTACCAAAAGAGTGAACACTGTACCCAATCGGTCATTTTACCATCCTCGCTCCCTTCTTGTTCTACCCTCTGTAGCAGTCTCCAGTGTCTATTGTGCTACATGTACCCACTGTTCAGTTCCCACTCATGAGAAAACAGAGGATCTGGCTTTGTTTCCAAGCTAGTTCATGTAAGATTATGGCCCCCAGCTCCAGCCATGTCGCTGCAAAGGACATGATTTCATCCTTAATTTTATGGTTGCATTTAATCAAGTCCCATCTGTCTATTTTCATATTTGTTGCATTTCTCTGTGAGGCGTTCATCATAAATTCTTTTTTGTGTTGTTTTGTTTCATGGTGCACATATACCACATTTTCGTTATCTAATCAACCGCTGCTGGGCATCCGGGTTGATTCCATGACTTTGCTACTGTCAGTAGTGCTGCAGTGAACATATGAGTGCAAGTGTCTTTTTTAATAAAATAATATCTCTTCGTTTGGGTAGATACCCAGTAGTGAGACTGCTGGGTCCAATGGTAACTTTATGTTTCGTTCTCTACGAGCGCTCTGTGCTGTTTTCCACAGAAGCTGAACCAATTTATGTTCCCACCAGCAACATAGGGGCCTTCCGTTTTCTCTACAACCTCACCAGTAGCTGCTGTTCTTGCACTTTTTCATAAGAGTCATTCTGACTCGTGTGACATGCTATCTTGTGGTTTCAATGTGCATTTCTTAGAAAACTCGTGATAGCATTTTCCCCATGCGCTCACATTAGCCACCTCGATTCCTTCTTTAGAGAAAGGTCTGCTCCCGTCCTTTGTCCTGGCTCTGATGGGAATTTTGTTCCCTGTAGATCCTGGTGCTACTCCTTCATCAGAGACGTGATTCGCAAATACTTCTTCCCTGCCTGTGGGTTGTCTGTTTACTCTGGTATCTGTTTTACTGTGAAGATGCTTTTTCATGTAATCAAATCCCGTCTGTCTAATTTCACATTTGTTGCATTTCTCTGTGAGGTCTTCATCATAAACTCTTTTTTGTTTTGTTTCCTTTTTTGAGTTGTAGCCCAGACTGGAGTGCAGTGGCAAGGACCCAGCCACCGTAGCCACGACTGGTTGGGCTCCGGCGATCCTTCCACTTCAGCCTTCCGAGTAGCTAGAACTACAAGCACACACTAGCATGCCTAGCCAATTTTTTTGATTTATAGTACAGATGAGGTCTCACCAAGTTGTCCGGGTGGGTCTCAAGCCCACGGGGGGCTCAGGCAATCCACTCGCCTCAGCCTCCCAAAGTGCTGGGATTACAGGCTGAGCCACCAAGCCTGGCCTATTATAAATTCTTTACCTAGCCGGGCTCAGTGGCTCAGCCTGTAATCCCGCGCCTTTGGGAGGCCGAGGTGAGTGGATTGCCTAAGTCCGTGGGCTCGAGACCCACCTGGGCAACTTGGCGAGACCTCATCTATACAATAAATCAAAAACCAGCCGGGCATGGTAGCACATGCCTGTAGTTCCAGCTACTCAGAAGGCTGAGGCAGAAGGATCGCCGGAGCCCAGCAGGTCGAGGCTGCAGTGGCTGGGAGCGGCCACTGCACTCCAATCTGGGCAACAGAGTGAGACTCCAACTCAAAAATAATTAAATAAATAAAAATAAGTAAATTCTTTACCTAGACCAATGTCCAGAAGAGTATTACCTAGGCTTCATTCTGGGACTTTTGCAGTTTCAGGTCTTATGTTTAATTCTTTAATCCATGTGGAGTTAAGGGTTGTATATGGTGAGAGAGAGGGGTCCAGCCCCATTCTTCTGCATACAGCTCAGCTAGCCAATTACCCAGCACCGTTTCTTGAATACACTTCCCTTTCTCCCACGGCTTATTTTTTGTTAACTTTGTCAGGAGTCAGTTGGTTGCAGGTATGTGGTTTCATGTCTAGGATCTCTATTCTGTTCCGTTGATCTGTCTACATGTGTACTGGTAGTATGATTTGATATCAGGCAAGATGATGTCTCTGCATTTGTTTTTCCAACACTCTTAAACGACAAACGCAGGACAGATCTTCTCATCTCCACGCGGAACATTCTCCAAAACTGACCATAGGCTTGACCATGAAGCAAGCCTCAGTACATTTTTAAAAATTCAAATCATACCAAGCATCTTCTTGGTCCACAGTGGAATAACTGAGAAATCAACACCACGGGAAACTCTCAAAAATACACAAGTAAAGGGAAACTAAACAATGTGCTTGTGAATACCTTTGGGTAAACAACAAAATTATGGCGGAAATCACGAGAATTTTTGAAGCCAATGAAAACAGAGATACACACCAAAAGCTCTGGGATGTAGTAGAAACAGCGCTAAGAGGACAGGGCACAACACTGAAGGCCTAAGTCAGGAGACAGAAGATCTCACATCAACCGTGTTTTGTTTACTTGGAGTCTGACTCCATTGCCCGGTCTGGAGTGCCCTGGCACGCTCAAGGCCACCCAGCACTGAGCCGCTAGGCTCTTGCGATCCTTCCACCTCAGCCTTCCACGTAGCCAGAGCTGCGGGCACGCACTGCCACGCCTGGCTGCTTTTTGAAACTGTTATCATTATTGCAGAGACAAGCTCTCGCCAGTTGCCGGAGCCCGGCTGGTCGCGGCTGCGGTGGCTGGGAGCTCGCCACTGCCCTCCAGTCTGGGCGACAGAGTGCGACTCCAACTAGAAAACTGAGAGGAAGT